ACTCTGGGATTTGATCTCATGTCGGTTTTATCTTCTTTTTAATCAGACAGAGCTCTTATCCACTGAGCTACTGTCTCCTCTTGTTTACATAGTATCTCTTCCTCCTTCAGAATAACTTTATTCTGTGTGACTTAGATAATTTTTTCCCTATTGTAGACTTATAGTATATTTTCCTCTATTTTTGGATGGTGGAACTTTGGATTTGTTTCCTCTCATTTTGAATATGGAACATTAAAATATATGTTATACTCGAAAGAGTAGTGGACCAAAACCTTAGTCTGTCTATGGGGTGTTCAGACATTGCTCCTGGTATATGAGAGGCGAAGCAGCCTGCTATGAAACTTGATCTCATATATGAATTTTGTCTTCCTTCCCCAGAGAGAGATCTTACCCACTGAGGTATCACCACCTCCCAGTTGCCAAGATGCTCATTATCTTACTTCAGAAGTACTTTATTTTGACTTTAAATTAGAATGTTTTTAAAATTAATTGTAGATAATAGGACTTAAAGGAGAACTATGAGGTGAGTGCTTTTCACTCACCTCATAGTTCTAGCCAACCTGTGACAGTCTCAACCTGTGAGACTGTCACAGGTCGGCTCAGTGGATCGGGAGGTGAGCGAACACATACCGGCGTTCACTCACCTCTCGATCCTGTCACAGCTCTCTGCCGTGACAGGGGAGGGGCTGGATTCCCCCCTCCCCGCTCCGATCTGCCAGCGCTGACTGGCGGAACGGACGGGGGAGGGGTCGGGTACAGCTGGCTCTTCCTCTAGATAGGCAGAGCCAGCTGTCAGTCACGCAGTGGGCGGATCCAGACATAATTGTATACCGCGAGCAGCAGCTCCCTATATACTGAGCTTGGGGTGATGGGAGGACGCTAGTTTGTGTCCTCCCGTTACCCTAAGGAGAACTATGGGGAAAAGCCTTAACCCCATACTTCTCCTTTAAGAAGATTTGTGTTTCTTTATTGTGGATGACGGACATTAGAACATTTAGTGTCTGTTTTAAAAATGTTGGCCATAACATATTTTCCTCTATTTTGGATGGTGGTACTTAGTTGTTTTTTGTTTACTTTATCTTAAATTGGACTTTGAAGATGTTTCCTCTATTTTGATTATGGAACTTTAAAAAATATAAATGATAAATGTCAGGGCTGTTGACTAAATGTGTGCTGACCCCAGCTGGGCATTCTGGCATCATTCCAGGGCTGTGAGAAGTGAAGCAGTCTGCCTGGGATTTGATCTTACATCCATATTTTCTTTTATCCACTGAGCTACTGTCACCTCTCGATAGGAGGACTTCTCCTCCTCCTTCAGAAGTACATTATTTTGACTGGTTCATCGTAGAACATTTTTTTTCTCTGTTGTAGACAATAGGACTTAGAATGTTTTTTGGGGGGAAGTTGCACATAGAATATTTTGCTCTATTTTTGGATGGTGGGACTTTGAATATGTTTTCTCTATTGTAGATAATAAAGGAAAATCAAATTCTATTTTGGATTGTGATACTTATAATTGTTTTCTATATATTTTTTTTTACAGGTAAAGTTTTCTATATTATTTTTAATAATTGGACTTTGAATATGTGTACTCAGATTTTTTTTATATGGAACCTTCAAAAATACAAATATTACTGAAAGGGTAGGGGTGTTCAGACATTGGCTGTGGTATATGAGATATGAAGCAGTCGGCTCTGTGATTTAATTTCATGTCTGTTTTTTTTCCCCTTCACACAGAGCTCTTATCCACTGTGCTACTGCCACCACTGTGAAAAAAAAGTGGTTTCTTCTTCCTGCTTCAGAATTACCCATTTCTGGATGTTAGAACTTAGATTGTTCGGAGAGATACATCTGGAATATTTTCCTCTATTTTGAAAAAAGTTGGACATTTAATATTCTGGTATGTGAAATCATTTCAGATCCCCCCCCCCATTTTTTAGACAAATCTCTTACCCTCTGACCTACTGCCACCACCTGTGGGTAGACATGCTCCTCCTCCTACTTCAGAAGTACTTTATTCTGGCTGTTATCCTTAGAATATTTTCATATATTTTATTGCAGATAATAGGACTTTAGAATATTTTCCTGTATTTTGAAAACATTGGACATGGAATATTTATCCTCTATGCTTGGATGGCGGAACTTTGAATTTGTTTTTCCTCTTATTTTGAATATGGAGCTTGAAAATATTTGTTATACCCGAGTAGTGGACCAAAACCTTACTGCCCCCTGGCCTGTCACCCCATTGGGGGGTTTAGACATTGGCCCGGGGATCGGAGAGGTGAAGCAGTCTGCATTGTCACCATCTAGGGGGAGAAAGGGAGACTTACAACCAAAATGTTAGTAATGAGTAAAACGCAAATTGAGCCTCCGTGATTGAAGGAACCAGTGGCGGAACTACCAGGGTCGCAGAGGTCGCTGCGGCGACCGGGCCCTGGAGTTCCGCCACTTGGAGGGGGGCCTAGGACAGGAGGAAGGGGCCCCTGGTGACTGCTGATTACCAGGATATTTATTATCCCGGTAGCCGCTAATGTCAGTCACGGGACCTCTTCCCCTGTCCTGGGCCCTACGTGCTTCACGCTGCTCCCCTCACCTTGTTCCGGGCGCAGCGTGAAGTATGATCCAGCCGGCGCAGCAGCCAATGAATGGGAGCGGTGTTGTCCCCGATCCCTCATCACACGGAACTGCTGCCCAGTGCCGAATAGAGAGCTGCTGAGGACACGAAGGGGGAGACAGGGAGCTGGAACTAAAGGTGACATGGGGTCCGGGAGTGGAAGGCTAAGGATGTGAAGGGGGGGCCCTTCATGGATTCTTGCATCGGGGCCCTGAGGTCACTAGTTACGCCTCTGGAAAGAACTGAAATGCAATGAATGAATGAAAGGAGCGGGAGGAAAGAACTAGATGATACTGAATGTCCTCCAGCCATGAAATAAGGCCGACTCTGACTCGGTGCCGCTTCTAATGCACATTGTAAGTAAGCAATTTCAATGATATGACACAGAGTAATAATGACTTTATTCCATGGGCCCCCGCAGTCTACCCCGCCCCCCCCCCCCGGTTCTGAATGTGATGACCCGTCCCCTGAAGCTGCTCTCCAATCACCACCTCTCTTCCCAGCACAGCTTGTACTTAACGGTGGCTAGAGGTATGTAATGTACAGCACAGCCTGCACAGCATGGTGAGGCCCCATAAGGGCAAGCCAGGTTTGGTAACTGACAACCCAGTAAGTGGCCAATTACAGCCTACGGCAGCGACGCTTCTGGGTGCCAGTGTAAAAAGACAATGCATGCCCACGCGGGCACATGTGCCACAGATTGCTGACTTGTGGTGTATAGAGTGCAGTGGTCAGGCGTATGTCATATAATACACATCTATACACTGCTTGGCTTGTCACTGACAGAAACAAATGCCCCCAGTGTCTGTTGGTCAGCAGGACAACACGCATCAGTGTCTGTGGGAGAAACAATACCCCAGCGTCGGTGTCAATGGTTACTCACACGGGAAGATGATCCCTATCCCGTGTCCCTGGCTCTGACATTGGCACTGTTAGGCGGGATGAATCCACCCGGGACAGCGTGCATATCGCCCATGTCAGATCCTTTGCAAGAACTACAACTACCAGTATGTCCGCCCAAGTCTTGGTGGGACTACAACTCCCACTAAGATGTACCTTAATGCTGGAGGGACTGCAACTCACAGGATGTCCTGCCTAAAGCTCTGGAAGGACTACAACTCTCTGTATGTCTTTCTGAAGAGGGACAACTCCCAGCATACCTTTCTAACATTACAACTCCAAATATGCCTTACTGGAGGGGCTGTAGTTCCCAACATGCCCTATCTAAAACTCAGGAGGGACTACAACCCCCTGCATGCCATTTTTAAGACTCTGGATGGACTGCAACTTTCAGCATTTCCTATCTAAGGCTTTAGATGGACTACAAATCCAGTTATGGACTGGCCAAGACTCCTCGGGGACTGCAACTCCCAGCATGCCCTACCTTAATACTTAGGAGTGAGTACAACTTCCAGCTTGCCCTATGACTCTGGAGGGACTGTAACTCCCACCATGCTCTCTTAAAGGCTACAAGTTTTAGCATGGCCTGACTCTGGAGAGACTGAAAATCCCAGCATGCCCAACTCAAATCAGAGACTACTAGTCTTTTGAGTAACTACAACTCACAGCATGCCGTTTTGAACACTCTGGAGAGATTTCATCTCCCAGCATGCCCTATGACTGTGGAGGAACTACAACTCCCACCATGTTCTTTTGAACACTCTGGAGAGACTTCTTCTCCCAGCATGCCCTACCTTAAACTACGAATCTCTGCGTGTCCTATAGCACACAGCACTCTGTTCACCATCATATCCCTCAATAGGGTCAATTCATCAAAACTGGATAACACAGAACTTGGAATCGCCCATGGCAACCGATCAGCTTCTCTCTTCAGTTAAACGTTGAAAATGAAAGCAAGAAGCTGATCGGTTGCCATGGGCGACGGCTCCAGTTTTGATCAATTCCATTCAATCAGAGCGTTCAGAGCGCTTCTCTCCCAACGGCCCCGAGCCACGTGATCCGCTCTGACGTCACCGCCCTCTCTGACAGGAAGCAGATAGGACTTCCGGGTGGCGGGTGGCGGGTGGAGCGCTGCACAGATCTGCTTCCCCCGTGTGTTTACATGACCGGAGAGCCGTATGTATGGGGAGGATTTTTATTGGAGGGGACTTGTGTAACTGACAGGTTAAAGGGGAGCTCTGCTCAGCTCTGTGTACAGCTCCACTAAATACCCGACCACAGGGCAGGTCCACCAACTGTGACCCTGAACTTTGATCATAACAGTGAGCTTTAGATCATCGTTAGGGGGAGTGCAGTGCATGGAGTTTGTACTGTAGCCAAACAGCCATACCCACTGTATTCTGGGTGTGTTGAAGTCTACTATTGCCATGGTTTCTCTGACTGGGCTAACAATACAATGTTTTATTTCTGTCGGCAGGGATTCATTATGGAGGCGCACGGGGAAGGGATCCTGTCCAAGGACCTGCAGACGGAGGTCATCTGCGTGGCGGACCCGGGCCGCAGCGAGGCCGAGCTGGCTTTCCAGGTGTACAAGATGCTGGACGGGAACGAGGCCTTCAGCAACGTGTCCGAATACCACATGGTGCCAGTCCAGGCTGCCGACGGCTCTATCGTTGGCGTCCAGGTGACCGGCATACAGAGAGGCGCTGATGGCGACGTTGGTGGCGACAGTATCCTTCCCATGCAGTTGATTGAGTTTCACAATGTGGAAGAAGCCGAGCAGCCTCAAGCCGAGCAGCCGCTGCCAGAGCCAAGTGTGACCTCTGCCGAACCCCCTGTGGCTGACCCTGGTCTGTCCGAGGCTGCTCAGGTAGGTTGGCCGCCTGGATAATGCATTGATATCCTCATGGTTATGCTGCTGTGGTAGAAAGCTGAAATCTTCATGGATGCAAATCTCCCATTCCCTCCTAGTATGTACAAGGAGAAGTTTTACTGCCTGCAGGGATCACTCCCTGTAATATAGGCACCGCCCAGTGTTTACATAACTCCAATATGTCGGGGGAAGTCATGCCAAGTCCCCTTTATAGTTTTAACTATCTCCGGGCCGGCTGTAGTAAAAAAAATGGCTGTCCGGGAGCTCTCTAGATCTGAGCGGGCGTCTTTAGACGTCTGCTCAGACACGCCCCCTCGC